GATTTCTATGCAGGTGTAGAGGTAGAATTCTCTTTCTTTGCCATGGTTTTATGTGGGTCACAGTTCTGGGTGGCACTCCTGGGGCAAGGAAGAGTGCTGGCGTGGTGGAGCTATTCACAATGGGGCAGAGAGAATACTCCTCACAGTTCCAAGGTAAAAAGGAATGTTTGTGGTCACTGATAGATCAGAGCACAGGCCAGGAAAGGAGTAAATACATCACTCTTTATCATACCACTTTGGCAGACCTGAAAAGTTAGATGTTTCTGGAAATATCTGTGAACATAATTGCAGAAAACCCTCAAAGCTTGGGACAGTGTATTCTGCACACTGGATGTAGATCCTTTACCTTAACAAAGAGTTTAATACTCAAGTAATTGGCTGGGATCATGAGCAAACTGTGCAAAAAATGTCACAGCATAGAATCTCTTTTTTTGGTGGCAAAGAAGATGAAAACATACAACTAGGAGGTGACAACAAAGTCAAAGTTCCTACTCCATAGCCACCAAGAAAAAAGGAATCGGTCACAGGCCATGGAAGAGCTGGGAAGAGTAATAAAAGTGACGTAAGAAAATCATAAAAAAACTAGTCAGCAGTTTGCTAAAGTAGACCCAAAAAATGGTGAAGAAAATCACACTTAAAAAACTAGAGAAACCGCAATGGCAAAAGAGGTCCAAAAAGCCAATGAGGAGAAGAATGCCTTTAAAAGCAGAATTGGCCAAATGGAAACAGTCCAAAAGCTCACTGATGAAAATACTTCCTTAAAAATTAGAATGGAGCAACTGGAAACTACTGACTTTATGAAAAATGAAGACATTGTAAAACAAATCCAAAAGAATAAAAAGTCAAAGACAATGTGACATATATCATGGGAAAAATAACAACTTTACTTGAAAATAGATCCAGGAGAGAGAATATAAAAATTGGTAGATCATCTGAAAGCCACGATCAAAACAAAAAAAAGAGGCTAGACATCATCTTTCAAGAAATTATTAAGGAAAACTGTCCTGCACTTCTAGAATCAGAGGGCAAAATAGAAATTGAAAGAATCCACCGATCTCTTCGTGAAAGAGATCCCCAAAGGAAAACTCCTAGGAATATTATAGCCACATTCCAGAGTTTCCAGGTGAAGAAGAAAATATTACAAGGGGCCAGAAGGAAACAATTGAAGTACTGTGGAAACAGAATCAGGATAACATAAAATTTAGCATGTTCCACATTAAAGGACTGCAGGGCATGGAATATAATATTCCAGAGGGCAAAGGAGATAGGAGTACAACCAAGAAACACCTACCCAGCAAAAGTGAGTACAATCCTTCAGGGGAAAACATGGTCATTCAGTGAAGTAGAGGACTTTCAAGCATTCCTGATGAAAAGAGCAGAGCTGAATAGAAAATTTGAAATTCAAATACAGGACTCAAGTGGAACATGAATAGGGAAACAGGAAAGAGAAATCATGATAGACTTATTAAGATTGAACTGTTTACATTCGTGCATGGAAAGATGATATTTATAACTCATGAGATCTTTGTCAGTATTAGGGCAGTTGAAGAAAAAATATATGTATGTATATAGATAGAAAGATAGATAGATGAGATAGATAGATAGGATAGATAGATAGATAGATAGATAGATAGATAGATAGATAGATAGTAGATAGAGAGATACAGGGCACAGGGTGAGTTGAAGATTAAGGGGTCATGTGTGGAGAATAACATTAAGGGATGAGAGAAGATGATACTTGGAGAAGAGAAAAGGGAGAGGCAGAATGGGGTAAATTATCAGAAGAAAACATAGAAAAGAAAAGTCTCTAACAGTGGAGGGGAAGCAGGGGAAGGTGAGGGAATGAGTGAATCTTACTGTCATTGGATTTAGCTTAAGGAGGGAGTAACATACACATTCAATTGGGTATAGAAATCTGTGTTACCTTACAGGAAATAGGTGGAGAAGGGGATAAGAGAACAGGGTGATGATAGAGAGGAGGACAGATTGGGAAAGGGGGTAATCAGAAGCAAATAATTCTTGAGGAGGGACAGGGTCAAAAGAAAGAATAGAAGAAATGGGAGGGCAGGATAGGATTAAGGGAAACAGAGTTAGCTTTTCACAACATGTCTACTATGGAAGTGTTTTGCATAACTGCACATGTACAACTATATTGAGTTGCTTGCCTTTTCAATGAGGGTGGCTGGGGAGGGAGAAGAGAGAAAATTTGAAACCTAAAGTTGTAAAACATATGTAGAAAAAATGTTTTCACATGGTACTGGGAAATAAGAAATACAGGAGATGGGGTATAGAAGTCCATGTTGCCCTACAGGAAACTAGAAGGGGAAGGGGATAAGAGAAGGGGGAGAGATGAAGAGAGGACAGAGTAGGGGAAGGTGTACGATGGGGAAAAAATTGGAACTCAAAAACTTGTGGAAGTGAATATTGAAAACTAAAAATAAATACATTTATATTAAAAACAATATTCTGATTCCCAAATGAAATAATCTCCAGTATCAAGACATATCTTTACTATAGAATACCAGTTATATGGGGCTAATATTCTATTGGATCCGGAATTAACTGAAGCCTCTTTTAATTCTTTTAACAATTTAAATTTAAACTGTCTCTGAACTCCAGTGTTTGTACTTGGGTTATTTACATCTTCCTCCTCATGTACTGGAAATAGCATTATTTTGGGCACAGGTAATTTGAATTCCATGGGTACTACCTGTCCCTTTTCCTCTGCTTTTATAATTGCCTTTTCTAATAACCCTTTACAGTGTATTTTATGGCTTTTTTGATATTTATTTATCTCCTCATTATGTTTTCTGTAGGAGCTTGATCTATGTGAGGGTGAGGGATGTGGTGGTGCTGAAGGTCTAATACATTTTGCATAGATAACATCTTTTACAATTCTAAGCTTTTCCTGAAATATTCTATTCATATCTTCTTCTTCCTTAGTTCCTGCCCCCAAATCTGCCTTATGTATTTCAGTTATTAATAACACATCCTCTTGAGGATCGAGACATATTTTTAGCACGGTTGAAATTGAGAATGTAGCTATGGAGAAAGCACCTGGACGTACTTCTCTATAGTAATCACTCATTTGTCTACCCACCGTTTCCCTTATTTGTAAATCGATTTTTCTTTCCTGAAGCACCCACGGGCAGCATGTTTCTACACATTCCAAAAATTCCTGTAACTGACCATCTGTGAAGAAAAAACTTATTTCTTCACTATTTCTTTTAAAAGTTGCACATTATTTTCTCTGTCTTTGCTTCTGCTTTGTATTTGACCATACTTTCAATGCCAGGTGCGCCTCCCAAAACCTTAAGAGAGTGCTTATGGCCTTCCAAAGGGATACTATTGTTATGCTGCAGCCCTTTTCTTTTCTTTTCTTTTCTTTTCTTTTCTTTTCTTTTCTCATGCTCCTATTCCGAAGCCTTTTTACTTTTGTTTTTCCTATTTCCCCACTTTACCCGGAGCCTTTTGACCCCTAAAACTGTTAAAAAATAGGGTGTTGCGACCTTCGCTCTCTTTACCTTGATTGCACAGGTTGAGCCGCCAAGGCCCTTCTTTTCATAGCGCAGAACCGCCAGGAGCTTTTTCTCCAGAGTTTCCAAGAGAGCTCCTTGCTCCTATCTCTTTTGCTTTTGAGCCCTTTTGATTGCCAGGGTCCAGTTTAAATACTGAAAATAACAATCACCCCGGAGGCCCTCGTGGCTAATCCCAGCCCTCAAGTGATTTTTTAATAAGACACACCGGTTTGCTATCAATGTACCTGAGTAATCCCACCATAAGGTATTAGTTTAATTATACAGACCTGCTTGCTATCACAGTTCAGGATTGGTCAGAGTACCCAGGCAGTAGAAAGTGGTGCAATAACAATAATCCTATCAGAAGGATCAGGAAAAACTCCTTGTGCAAAATAATATTTGATCTGCATCTTAAAGGAAGAAAGGGGAGTCCATTCCAGGCATAGAGGATGGCCAGTACAAAATGAGCTCAAGCATCAAATCAAAATGCCATAACTTTCCAACGAGCTAAATCATCAATGAAAAACATCAACGTGCAACAGAGAAGCATGTGAAGCTTTTCTTTCAAATATGGTCATTGGCATAGCTTTCCTTAAAAAGATAGGAAAATGGATTGCCTGGAACAGAGAGAGTAAAGAGTTTAATTAGATCCCTGAGTATTGGAGAGAGGAGGTGATGGACAAAAGAGTCTTGAGAGACAATTGGAGGCCACTTAACTAGCTGGCCCAACGGATTGAGCATCAGGCCTGGAGTCAGGAAGACTTGTCTTTTGAATCTGAGTATATCCATTTCCTTTGCTACATAGATCCAAGTGGTCATAAGCTGTCTCTGGAGACATAAATTAGAAGATAATGAAGAAAGTGTTTCACATTTAGTACTCACATATTAGCATCACAGAGTGCATATTTATTGGTTCATATTAATTTTCTGATGTATGGTGCAGATTGGTTTGAGGGTATCCAGGTATCATGCAGCTTTGCTTGTACCAGGCTATCTGTAGCAGCCATTTTTCAGACAGTGGTTCGTATATTCCACTGGAGTCTTAGAACCTCTATCTTTGGCTCTTACAATATTCATACTTATTTGGGGTGTCCCTGTTCAAGTCTTCTGACCTTGAACTAATCACTTCCACTTTCTAAGTTTGACTTTCCTATTTTAAAAAATGAATGTTGAAATGCTGGAGCTACAAGCGACCTTAGAACAAATAATATAGAATGTGAGCACAGAGAAAGGACCCTAAGAATATCTTTTAGAGAATTTTAGTACAATGGTCTTATTTTATAGTTGATGAAACTGTCGCTCAGAGGGGGTAAAAGAGTTACTCAAATCACACAGCAAATCAATAGCAGATCCCCAAAGAAAAGTTAATTACCTTTTAACATCAATTTTTTGTTCTTTCTAATGTATCAATATGGACCCCAGAGCCCCCATACAGTATTAACTATTCAAATTCTCTGATGTCAAACAAAATATTAGACTCACCTCTGTTCCTTCTAATTGATCATCTAAGAGAGAGAAAAGGAGATTCCAAAGAATTAGTCTATGTATCAGAAACACATTATCCTAATCTTAGTAAACCCTAACATGAATTAGGTCAACCTTTTTTTCCTTCCTAATTTCATCCTGGACAGACTAACTAGGGTCAGGAAACGGATACAAGTTTTAGTATGGCCTTCGTCAACAGTACTAAGGGTTGATACTCACAAGGGAGAAGGGTTGAACTTGGTTGTCTAATACTTCCACTGAACAGTTCATAGTCCAGAGGAAGTAGAATCATAAAGTGTGAGAGCTGGAGGGCTGCTAGAATATGGAACAGAAAATGTGAGAGGTAAAAGGGCACCAAGAATGTAGAACATTAGAACCTGACCTCAGAATATAGATTTAGACAACTAAAAATATAGGTTTAAAAAGATATATGCAGGATAGGAGCAGCTCGGTGGCTCAGTGGATAGAGCTCTGGTCTTGGGGTCAGGAGGACCTGAGTTCAAATTTGGCTTTGGACATTTGACACTTACTAGCTGTGTGACCCTGTGCAAGTCACTTTATCCTGATTGCCTCACCAAAAAGCAACAAAAAAAAAAAAGGATAAACACAGGATACAAGCAAGCCCAGGTGAAAAAGGATGATTATAAAATATAGGAAAGACCTGTAATAACAGCACTGGGAATGCTAAAGATTGCAATGAGCTGAAGTTAATAGGGAAAACAAAAGGCTTTTGCTTGTGTCTGTGTTCTCTAAGTTATTTTATTTAAAAAAAAGTAGGATCAAATAAGTCAATCACTGAGTCAACTAGCATGTTGTGCCAGCTGGTGTCTCAGGGAACAGAGTGTTGGGCCTGGAATCAGGAATATCTGAGTTCAAATCCAGCTTCAGACACTTCCTAGCTGTGTTACCCTGGGCAAGTCAGTTATCCTTGCTCTGTCTGACAAAAGGATCCACTGGAGGAGGAAATGCCCAAACCATTTCAGTATCTCTGCCAAGAAAACTTTATGGAACAGTTATGATTCATAGGGTCATGAAGAGTTCAGACATGACTGAATGAGTGAATAACAGCAATGTGTGCCTGGGGAGACAAAAAAAGATAAAAGACAATCCCTGGTCCCAAGGCACTCACAACATAATGGAGAAGACAACACGTAAATCACTATGAACAAAGAGGATAGATTCAGGAGAAACCAGAAATGGTCATCAGAAGGAAGGGAATGAGATTGACAGTAGAGTGAGTAATGGCTCAGGGCAAATGGAGAAGCTAATGAATGACAACATGAAAACAGAGAAGCTCAACTCTCATGTTGCTTTAATTTTCTCAGATTATGAGAATGATTTATAGATTACAAAGGAAAGGACCAAAATGGTCAATAGGAAGTTGATAAGCAAAATACCTCAGCACATCATAATAAATGACTTGACTTTACCTTGATGATTTCAAGACAGCCTGGTAAAGTTCATCCTTAGGAACTGGAAGAATGTGCATTCAGTAAAATATAAGCTCTTTAAGGACAGGGACTATTTGTCATTTTTGTGTTCATGTCCCTAGTCCCTAGCAGAGTGCTTTGCACCATTAGGTGCTTGATAAGTGTTTCAGTTTAAGTGACCTAAGTGTAATTGCTGCGCTATTCTCAATGATCTTTGAAAAACTGTGCAGGATGGGACATTATGAGCCTTGTTAACCTTCCACCGACCCTGACTTTATAATTGGGGACTTCAATTTATATGTTGATGCCTTCTGAAATATCCTTTTTTCCTAGTACATCAAAGTAGTGCACTGTCATGATCTGAACCTTCCCTCTACCCCAGCCATATATAAGAATAGCCACACCCTTGGAGTCACTAGTACCCAAAGTGTTCTATCTCTATAATCTATAACTCTAAAATTCTTCTATCTAACCCTAACCTCATTGCTTTACTTATCTCTATCCTCATCCTTTCAATGTATTTTTCATTCTCACCATAACTCTAATCACTCCACTTCTGCTTTATTCGGGGACCATGCTGTTATAGATGCACTTTTATTCATGGAAAATCTTGGCCTCATAGTTAAGAATTCCAACTTCAGAGTTTCATGTGCTCTTGAATCCTTGAATCCTTTGTCCTATTGCTGCATATCTCTTTCCTAACCTCACATTTGAGTCAATTTTGCCTTCTGCCTTGTCCACTCATGTTCTCATGCTGCAGAATGTTGCTAGATGAATTCATGCAACTGTTCTTACTGGTTCCAATACCAAAGAGTAATGCCTGTTTCTCAGACTCAGATGGTTTTAGTGGGGGAGAAGAACTTAAGGCCTGTTCCCTTACAACAGGTATATCACTGAAGGTTGTAAACAGAAGAGTCACCAGGATTTTCCTAAAATGGGCAGAGGAAAAAGACTAGGTAGTGATATTGAAAGGGCTTTTTGAATGCCGATAAGGGTCATCAAAGAGCTTCCCTTGCACTAAATATTTGGCAGGAAGTCTATACGTGACTCATAGTTTCTCCCAAACACTTCCTTTACACATCATCAAGACCCTCTGAAATGTTGCCAGCAATCAGATAGTGCACTGAACGGGAAGGCAGAAAATAAATGTGAGACGTCGGCCAGGCGGAGCAGTAAAGACTGAGTCAGTTTATTCATCTGAGGGTAAAGGATATATAGAGAAAATCTAGCCTAACTTCAAAGAGTGTTTCCCGTGAGACACTCCCCAAAACATCTGCTGAGGATGTGACAACATACATTTCCTCGTTATGAGGGTTCCTAGATTGGGTTGTAGTTTCCAAGGCTTTCCCATGTGCCTTGGTGCCACCTGCATAGAGGAGTGAATGTGTAAATCTAAGGTTCAAAGAGTGAGAAGGAATGTCTCAGTAGCCTCCCTTGCAGGGAGAGATTTGGAGAGCCCTGGTTCCTAAATGATTGAGCTTGTGGGTTAAGCCTGGACAAGAGGCAAATCTGTCCTGGATGTTAAACCCAGATCAGACTCTTAGAGCCGGCCCTCAACTCAGAAACAAGTTCCCAAGTGTCCTCCATGTAGAGAAATGGAATCATCCAAGTAAGTTTAAGGTGTCTGCTCATGTGTCTGAACCTCATAATACAATGAAAATGAAACTTCAAAATGAAACAGGATCAAGAAGAACACCAGATACAGGAGAAAGAGAATAGGAAGAGCAGGAGAAAGCAATGGCAAATCCAGGATGCAGCTTAGAGAGATGCAGAGGGTGCACAAGGAGGGGAAGAAATGGGAGGTTGTTGAGGGAAGGACTTCAGACAGTAATAGAAAGGGGGAGAAATGCTTTTTTGCAGATAATTTACTTATTTTTATATGGAATATGCAGGGATTCAGAGAAGCAGTTCAAATGAACATGGTAGTGTTGACTTCTCAGGAATATGAATTTGAAAAGCAATTCAATGAGAACAAAGCCATCCAGTCGATGCAAGAGAACTGGAAGAAAATCGTTCTTATTTTCAGCTCTGTATGCTGCCTTTATATTTGGTGGTCAGCACCTAATGAACAAATGGGCAAAGTTGGAAGTCAGGAAGCCACTTGTACTGTGGTCCCTGAGCATTGCAGTCTTCCATATAGGGTTAGGTATAGTTGTTGCTCTTCAAACTGGTGCTTATATTGTGTACATTTTGATGACCAAAGGCCTGAAGCAATCAATTTGTGATCAGAGTTTTTACAATGGACCTGTCAGCAAATTTGCGTCTTTTGCATTTGTATTAAGCAAATCACTTGAATTTGGAGAAACTATTAATTATTTTTCAAAAACAGAAACTCATCTTACTACATTGGTGTCACCACATCACTGTGCTGCTCTATTCTTGCTACTTTTATAAGGACATGGTTGGTTCATGACCATGAACTATGAAGTGCATGCAGTAATGTATTCCTACTATACCTTGCAAGCGGTGGGGTTCCAGGTCTCACCGAAGTTCACCATGTTCATCACCTTGTTTCTGATTACACAGATGTTGATGGGTTGTGTAGTTAACTATCTCGATTTTTCCTGGATGCAGCAAAACCAGTGCCGCTCTCATATTCAGAACATCATGTGGTCCTCACTCATCTATCTCAGCTACTTTGTGCTCAGGGTCATCAAGAAAAGAAAAAAAAAACTAAACAAAATAAAATGGCACCAGGTATCATATATATGGTCCAGCTAAAAATAATAATATTAATAATTAAAAAGCAAGCTTGGCAGCTTAGGGGTAACTAGGTTGATCTAACCCAAAAATGTATGATCCTTTTGTGGTGAGGACTCATTGAGTTCAACTCCATCTCAAAGAACTGCTGCTAAGAGACACCATCCCTCTCATACCTGTCAAGTGTAGGAGGAAAAATGAAAGAAAGAAAGAAAGAAAGAAAGAAAGAAAGAAAGAAAGAAAGAAAGAAAGAAAGAAGGAAGGAAGGAAGGAAGAAAGAAAGAAAGAAAAAGAAAGAAAGGAAGAAAGAAAGGAAGGAAAGAAGAAAGGAAGAAAGAAAGAAAGGAAGGAAGAAAGGAAAGAAAGAATGTTATTAACAAACTTTATGAAAAAAGTATTTAGTAAGCATCATATTTCCCTAAAACAGAAGACTTTTACTCAAAACCAAACAAAAAAAAAGTATTTTTATATACTGTCTATTCTTTTTCAACACTAAACTTGAGCCAACAAAAAAAAGATAAAAAGGTTGGAGGTGCAGGGGGTGTGCGTATAAAACCAACACTTTGGCAGAAATGAAAACTTTCCTTGTGAAAGGTTGGCAGTTTTAGACTAAATTCAAAAGGTATTTAGAAGGTTTCTTTAAGTGAACATGAGCCACAACTTGATGAGTAAGAGAAAAGCTTGATGGTTCCCACCGCAATCTAGAATTTGTGTTCAACCCTTGATCAGGTTTTCAAAATGAGGAACAAAACATGACTGCCCATTTCTAAATGAGAGAGAATTTGTCCAAGGGCATGTCCGATGGAAGTCTGTTGATTTCTATTATTGCACAGGATAAAAGAGATTCATCTTTGTTCTTTTATCTGAGACTTTTAAAAAGAACTTTGGAGGGGAGGGGTAAAGAGACAGAAGAAGAAGAAGAAGAAGAAGAAGAAGAAGAAGAAGAAGAAGAAGAAGAAGAAGAAGAAGAAGAAGAAGAAGAAGAAGAAGAAGAAGAAGAAGAAGAAGAAGAAGGCAGCAAAACCACAACCAAATTATATGAAAATTGGGGGGACAAGATGGTGGAGTAAAAAGGTAGTTGCTCTCACTCTCCCCTATCAACCTCTGAAAACCCAG